TCTGTCCCTAGAGAGGGTGTTCTCCACAGCAGGAGACATTGTTAGTGCCAGCAGATCTGCCCTTTCAGCAAGCAATGTGGACAAGTTCATCTTTCTTTAACAAAACATGAAAATACAATGACAAGCAAGTCCTAATGTCAAACTGGCTGCTTAGGTACGAGTACAGTAAAGTTCAAATACAGATGATTTCAGTTCATTAAAATGCTGCACCTTAATGTTTATTTTATTATATTTTGTATTTATTTGATTGAATACATTATTCACAGTTTAATAATAATAATTTAAAAAAAAATATATATATATATGTTATGTTCTGTGATAATTTTTTCTGCTGTACCGAAAACGTACCGAACCCAACCGTGTCCTAAAAACCGAGATACGTACCGAACCGAAATGTTTGTGAACTGTTACACCCCTAGTATATTGTGTTTTTCTGTTTCAGGAAACTTGACTGTTTCTCATTCACTGATTGGCTAATGACATCACAGGTGCATTATGGGATAGCTGTTTGAGTTACCTTGGCGGTACAGTTGATGAGAGGTTCTCCTTGGGGTTTCAGTCCGATGACCTGCAGAAATTCATTTTTACATACTCTCATTATTTTCTTATTATTTATCATTTCTTACAATGACATTCAATAAAATGAAAATCTGTCCGGACTCCTGAGTCGTGATTAAATTCCTCTGATGTGAAAATAGAGACACCGAAGATGCTCTGTAATGTCTTCATTGTATTTTAATAAATGATCACTGTAATAAGGCCTTCCTGTTGTAGAGGAATGGGGGGACGGGTGGTACTGACCCGGTTCATCTTGATGATGATGCAGGGTTTCCCTTCGGCGTATCCAAAGCTGCTGTCCGACAGACCTGAGCACTGGCGTAACAGACTGCGTTTGAACTGGCAAACCTTTTTCACCGGCTCGGCGTCCTGATCCGTGTATTCGCCCACCAGACACAGGTCGTTACGCTCCTGAACACTGTCGTTATAATCTGAAAAACAAGAACATCAACCAGACTTTTATTGTGATGGTCCTAATGTTAATCTACTGGATTTCCTGTTCTGAAGTCAGGGAGGAAACCAATCAGTGGCCCGCCTCCTGCTCGGTGTCATCACCGCTTATGTTACGATTGCTGTTTACACCAAAAAGCTGATGGATGGTTCTGTTATAAACTCAGTAATCTCAGACAGGAAACATCAGCAGCTGGTTGTTGTTTACATCTGTGTGAACCTCTAGAGAATTATGATTATCTCAGAAAGGAAACATATCAAGCCCATGCAGTTATTGGGCTTAGTGTAACATGGTGTCCTGCTGAGACGTTCCTTTAGGGTGTCGGTTTGTGCTTACTCTGCAGGAAGTTGTGCAGGTGTTGGGTGTACTTGTTGTAGTTTGTAGGGTCACTGCGGTTGAAGGAGATTTCAGCGGCATGAGGACGAATCACCAAACCTGCATTCAACAAAATAGATTTGAGATCAATGGTAATTCAGAACCTAGAAATGATTTCATGGCACATGATCATTATGCACACATAACAGTAAACAGGAAGTCAACTGGAGAATCTGTCAGAGTGAATTCACCTGGACTGGGCACTCGGTCCTGATAGGTCGGGATGTTTTCATCCAGAGTTTGTAACATCACCCACATGGTAAGACAAAACATCCCCGCCAGAAACGCATAGAAGACGAAGTAGAAGAGAAGGATGAGACCTGAGGGAGCCATTCAGAGAGCAGTTTCATTGAAACAGAAGAGGAAACAAACCATCAAACACAAAAAACAAACAAACACTCACACACACAGACAAAACAAGGCCCTGCTCAATCAACTGATTCAAGCTGCAACCCTCAATCAATATGCATAACTGCACTATCAATATAACCACATCAAATACGTGAGCACAGCGTATATAACTATCTCTAATTCTTATATTGATGTTTGTTCAGAGTGTGTCTTCAGAGTGCTTAGAGTGTTTCTTCAGATTAATGTCCTGAATGTTTGGAAATCAGATACAGAGACACGATCCGGAGAGACAATTTCATCATAACAGAATCCCTCAGGTCTTTCCAGGTGTTTCTAGGTGTTTCTTTTTCTAGGTGGTTTGACATCATAGGACTGAGTCCAGCTCCATTACCGGAGCCGTGAGCAACCTTCAACCTCGGGCCGGAGCGAGCTGCTTGGAGTATTTGATTAAACCATGTCCTGGCTGTAGGTAGGGCCTGCTTTAGTCCCAGCAATGTAGGCCAGTACCAGGGTCTGAAAGCCTCTCTGCAGACACTGGCAGTCAGTGAAGGGAGTGGAGGAGAGGTGAAGGGTGAGAGGAACAGTCAAGCTGCTGCGTTCTGCATGAGCTGGATGACCAGAGCCTGGACCAGAACCTGCATCACCTTCTGGATCAGTAGGTATCCTCCTGATCAGGGGTATAGTGCTATTTCCATAAGTGCCGGAGCGCACCTATGACTCGCGCATGAATGTTGTGGCACGACCACAAAAAGAGAAGCATATGGACATAGCTACGATATAAAAACTGTGCAAAGGTATTTAGTATCTTATCCATTGGAACATGTTTAAGTGGGGAGTGGACCTAACATCCTCTAGGTGTTTTTTTAACATTTTGAAGCTAAATGCATCAATCTGGTGCACTTTGAGGGCAAAGTTAAGGACTAGAACTCTGGCTACTGATCTATGGATACATCTCTCAACAACACCCATGTGAAACAGAACTGTAAACAGATTTACTTTTTCTTTATGCATATTTTACTAATCAATCCCCTTTTAAACGGTATTCTTGTTTTACTGTTATATAGTATGAAATGGATTTATATTTTATTTAACCAGTTTTTATTTATTCAGCTTAAAACAGGAGAAACAGACAGGAGACAGCTCTCTTCCGCCTTGGTCTAGAAACAGCTTCTTATATCCGTTATTCAGCTCATGCTAACAACAACAATCCCCGGTAACGGTGGGCTCTTGTTCGCTCGCTCGCTCACACAACATACCCTACAAAATACGCGGCATGTGTACGGCTCCTTAAGGTACTGCACTTTGTGAAGTGCCGGAGCGGCGTTCAGCACTACACCCCTGCTCCTGATGGTGTTCTGGGTCAGTACGTATCCTCCTGATGGTGTTCTGGTATCCTCCTGATGGTGTTCTGGTATCCTCCTGATGGTGTAATGGTATCCTCCTGATGGTGTTCTGGTATCTTCCTGGTTGTGTAATGGTATCCTCCTGATGGTGTAATGTGGTGTAATGGTATCCTCCTGATGGTGTTCTGGTATCCTCCTGATGGTGTTCTGGTATCCTCCTGATGGTGTAATGGTATCCTCCTGAT